CAAAGCCCGTCTGTCACGGTCTGCGATGGGTCCAAAGCCCGTCTGTCACGGTCTGTGATAGGTCCAAAGCCCGTTTGTCACGGTCTGTGATGGGTCCAAAGCCCGTCTGTCACGATCTGTGATGGGTCCAAAGCCCGTCTGTCACGGTCTGTGATGGGTTCAAAGCCCGTCTGTCACGGTCTGTGACGGTTAATTAGTTAATTAAACATTAATTAATTAATTACTAATTAATTAATTACTTAATTAATTCAGATGTCTGTCACGGTCTGTGATGGTCACGTGAGCGTCTGTCACGGTCTGTGGGGGGGGAGGGGGGGGTGGGTCAAAATTTCTACCCCTAAACACTTCAACACTCCTTTCAGATCGTGTTTCACAAAACAGGGAAAATTATCAAAAACAGGAAAAAGCAGACAAGAGTACTAAAATCAGACTATCAGAAGGAAATCAGAAAGGCATCCAAATTTCAGACACTATCCTGACTTTTCAGACAATCTGGTAACCCTGCTAGTATTGCGTACATAGTATAATAAGATTAAAAGATATTGTTGATGCATAATTTAGGATAACGTGATGGTTAACGCCATAAAAAAAGTGGTGTTGTTGAGCTGCTGTTATTTCACTATACGATCACTTATTTTTTGAACAAATGTTTTAATAAGCCAACTGTTGGTTCAATTGATTTGATATGAATATTAGATCTTTGAACACCAGCCTGTGCAAGAACATTTTCGACTGCATCCAAAAATGTTTCCGAGCCGGATACATAGACATGAGTGCCTTGTTGTAATTTGCCTTCAAGATGATTCTTTGAAATTGGAGTATCTTTTGTTAACATTACGTATTGACCTTTTGGAAGCATATTTTGTAATTGATCAGCAAAGGCAGCACGATCTTGACTTTGTACACATTGAACTACTGTTGTCAAATTTGCTTTTCCTTGTCTATTCAATGCATTGATCATTCCCATCAAAGAAGCAATACCAATACCACCAGCGATAAATAAATGATGGCCGGCATCACTGACGAGTCCAAAACTACCAGCAGGACCTGAAACTAAAACTGTGCTATTAACTTGGCGGTTGCGAATCAGTTCTTCTGAGACAATTATATTCTGATCAACATGTCCTTCTCTACAAGCTATGCTATAGGTGCTGCCATTGTCTGGTTCAAGAAGCATATAGTGTCCATGCTGGAGTTTACTATCTTTTTCAATACGAATTGTAATGTATTGTCCAACAGTATAAGGCCAAGGTTTTCCACCATCTTGACGTTGCATTGTGAAAACACATGTCGATCCACTTGAGATGGTTTCTTTCTTGGTAATATTGAATGGAATAAAGCCTTTATCATTGCCAAGCTGAGAGTACAATTCTTTCTCCCGCTTGATGAAGATTGATGACATAAGACCTAAAAGAGCTTCATATGCAGTCATTACCTCTGGTGTTGCTTTGTTGCCCAGGTGTTCTTTGATTGTTTGTAATAAGTGCTTGCCAAGAGTTGGATAGTGCTCTGGTTGGACAGTAACAGCTCGATGTTTGCTAGAAAGACGTGACATCTGTGGCATCATTACATCCAAATTATCAATGTTTTCAATGAAACAACAGACGGTCTCTATAATTGCTGCACCTTGCTTTCCTGATTTAACATTTGTTTCATTCAAAAAATTGCGATATTCTGGATTATTTTGGAACAGCGCTTCATAGAATTTTGTTGATATGCTTTTACCTTGCTCTCGCACAGCGCTAACTGTTGATTGAAGAAGTTGCTTTTGTTCGTTTGTAACGCTCATTTTTGTTGTAGAATACACACTAGATTTTGTTTGTTGTTGACAAAAACAAACACTCTACTCTAAAAAAATACATTTATAATGAGAAATTACATGGTTCGAACTTTCATAATGTTCTTTAAATCTATTTTAAGAAACAATTCACAATAAAATTACAAATTTTAGTAATAGATTTTCATACAAGAAATGATAAATATTACTGTTTAAACAGTTCTATGTAACAATGCAAAAGAGAATAGTTCTTGAAAGTTTTGTAGAAAACTCTTTAGTCAAGTATCTTAGTGGAAAACACACTACTTACCTCGTATCACTTCCAGTAAGACTGAGAATCAAATGACGTATACAAGCAGTTACTCTGAGAGAGAGAAAGTGAAAATGAGCTCATCGACTTAAAAAAGATACTTATCTCACATATTTCTTTGCATTTCTCATTCTAGACCTTTCGGATAGAACATAAAAGTATTCTGCAATGATCTCGAAAGTTTTTTTTATATTAAAATGTTCAAGAACTCTCTTTTAGAATAATTTTTAGAACATAAAAAGCAGAAAATATTTCTTTTGTTAGCAAAAGACATCATAAGAACTCATGGTTCATATTAATTGCAAATCAAAAATAATTAGAAAGTGATTCAGACTGTGTTTCAGAGTTTATGACGCACATGTATCACATAATAATTTTCAATTTCATCTATTTTATACAAAAAGACTTATTCAAAGTGTTGGTTTCACACTAATTTCAAATCCTGCTAGATCCTACTAAAACTACTCATATAAATTGATGCATGTGGAGTTATTTTATAATTTATTTCTGTCATCGCGTGTCGTTTCATATGTAAAGGATCTTTCAGTTAAATAAGAACTTATCTTGCTTGAAAGAAGTACATAGTTCTGTATAAAATATAATCATGTATGATTATTTATCTAGAAACATTCAGAAGAAATTTATTTTCTAATATATTACTTTGAATTTGGCATGTACTAAATAATAACTTTCCAAAAATAACTAAAAGACATATTATTTGCAAGTGCATGTCAAGCTTAGAAGGAAAAATTCCATTTACCTATGAGAAATTTTGTTTTTTACTCAACAATCACGAACGTATATGAAAGAAAGCTCCCGAACAAAAATAACATCAAACATGTTTGTACAACGCTGTGATTCACGTGAGTCGATTCTACTCATTAAAAAGGGACATTTTCGAATAATTACATAAAGCAGGATATTGGATAACTCTCGTAGAATGCGATACCATGCTAACGCATGCATTACTTAACAGTTAGGAGAATGGAATAGACAGGAATCGATTCATTTTATTCTTCTAACTGACTGCAAATAATGAATATTGTGGTTTATATACCAGATAAAGTATACTCTAGGATACCAAAAACAATATACCCCATTGCCATATCTGGACATAGAAGAAAAGGCAAAAACAAAACACAAAAAGCACAAACTATATAGCAACAAAAATGTGCCAGTTTTCTTGTGTTGAATGATGCATTCCATAATTTATTTTTTGTTATATCTCGAAATCGTTTATACGGAATATAGAAGATAATAAAAACACCTTATATATCACTGTGACAATTTTCAGTCTACTCCGTTGACATATGAAAAAGTGTTGAAATATCTTAAAAATATATTTTATCAGCTTTAAATGAATAACATCTGTTAGAGGATAACCCTCATACTATATTGTTTTCTTTCTTTCGTTCCTCTTTTCTTCTTATTACCTATTTCTTTGATATGTTATATCTCAGGTCTTTTTCTTTATTCTATTTTCTCTTATGTTTTGAACCCTGGACAGTGAATATATATGTCTTTCATTTTCTTTTTTTTCTCTCTCTCTCCTTTTTAGATCTTCTCTGATATCATATATATATATATATACAGATGTTTTGTTTTCTAAAATGGAGAGATTTGTTATTGTTGTTAGAGAGTGTGCGTGCACGGTCAGATAACGTTATGTACGTGTACGAGGACATTTTTGAAATATATAAATAAAAGATTTATCAATCAGATTTTTCTCTCTAATAACATCATTTGTTTTTCATTGCATAGGATTGTCTATCTTGTGTAGCTACTATGTTTTTCTTACTTCTAAATATACCCAGACAAAAGAAACAAAAAGAAAATCGACATCAGTTCTACAAGGGTAAGATAAAAAGAAAAATTATTAGAAGCTGCAGAAAAAAAGAAGAAAGATTATAGAAATAAAGTATAGGTACATGCTACAGTGAACAACATAACTTTCTTGATGTGGATCGAGGTTTGAGTTCTAGTACATGGTAATGTTATTTTATAAAATAAAGACAAAGAAAAACTTTTTATGCTAAGTCTTTTATATAAAATAATGCATTAGAATTATAAAGTATTGTTTGAGCTGTAAATTTGTATATGTATTCTCTAATTTTTTTTTTAACGTTATTCAATAAGATTAACTATTAATAGTTCAACTATTCTGAAAATATAAAAATGAATCAAATAAGATTTTTATTTTTTCTTCTATTCATTTATATAACAAAAAAAAAACGTATACTTGATATTCATGTAAATGCTTAAATATAATAATCATAATAAACAAGTTCCATACTTAAAGAAGCTAGATTTTATTTAACATATGGTTTGATTATATTTTAAATTTTTTATCGTGTATTCATGTAAACTAGTTTTTTTCTGTCTGATTTAATTTAGTTTCATATTCTTTTAGTTGTTCATTTGGATCATTCAAATAATTACTGGCATAAATCATACGTATCCAATTTATATTAATTATATTTTTATTGAGAATGAGAATGTGATGGTGTATAGGAGCTGCTATTAAGTGCATTAAAATCAAACTACGGATAAATTTCCGAACAAAAAAATCATCTTATAATGAAGATGTTTCTGTTGATAAACAAAAAGATTAAAATCTCAGTGGCTCTTGGCTTGCCTAGAGGGAAATTTTGAATTGTTTACATTAGTTTTTTATACAATCAAGTAAATATTTCAATAGTAATCTACACGAATCTTTCTGAAATTTATTCATAGAATTAAGATCACATTAGAGTAACAACCGAACGGAACGTCAATATTGTTACTCTTGCTCAATAAAAATAACTGCACAATACTTTTTTCTAATTTTCCATACGTCTATCCTTCTTTCTTTTCTATATATAATTTGTATGGACATTATAAGGTGTGTCTGTTTTCGTACAAAATAGAAATAATTGTAATATCCTTTTCTGTTTTTTCCTCCTCCATTTGTACTGAAGAATAACTCTAGTGTTTTATCATTGTCTTGTACATACCGTTAACCATAAAAAGAATAACCGCAATGTTTTACCATCTCTCTTTCTTTCCTTAGATGAAACCATACCCTTCGATTGGTCCTTCTGTCATACATTGTGTTAACCATATTTGTAATATAATCGTTGCCTTTGTGGGTACACACATAATTGTCTGTTATTGCGTTTATTGTATTTCTCAAGGTTCTTCTATGCTAAGAATTAGTATATGAAGCGGTAAAAATATAAACCATAATACGATATTATTTCCGCTAATTAAGTATTAAGCTAATAGCTCTTAAGCTGTGCCTATTACATCAAAAATCGTTACAATTAGTTTCAATTTGGATATGAATGATTGATTCTGGTCAGACAGAAGACTAATACATTCACATTCACATCCTCGAACGCAGAGCAATCTATATATTTTTTTCGAAAATAATGTAAATCAATCTGCTATTTTCAACTTTTGCATTTCAGCAACCGATTTAGTCAACCAGAGATTTATTTGATATTGTGTACTTGAATCAAAATTTTTTTAGAAGAATTGAAATAATGCAGATTTAATTTAACGCCGACGCGTTTCGTGTCTATTTATTTACAGGGTGTTTCATAAGTCTTGGGACGCAACGAAATTCTTTTTTATGGACACATAACGGGTGGCCCAGAATAAATTATACTGTTTGTATTTTCAACATTTCTTTTCTATTCTCCATTAGACTGACATATATTTTATATCAAAAGATAGCGCTTGAAATTCTCTACCAAATCATATATGATTCGACTTAAAAGCTATTTTAGATATATTTAACAAAGGATAAAAAATAAAGATATACAAAAAGCTGTAAAAAGTAAATACGTGACGCATAATAAAGGGTTCGACTTTACATTTCATATTTTAATCTCTAAGTAAATTTTATTAAAAAAACAAAATATATCACAAAATGCAGCATGAAAATCTCTACAATCTACAAACTAGAGTTTACTTAAGTGTATACTTTCTGTTTTCCAAAAAAAGAAAACTCTGTGCGATGAATTTTCACCATCGTGAAGAAATCATTTTTTTACATGAACGAGAATTCCTTTTGCTTATTTTATCTTTTTATCACCTAATATGTTTCCTATAAAAAAAACAAAGTATAGTACAAGATGCAGCATGAAAAACTCTACAATTTAAAAAGAACAGTTTATTTTATTTGTGTACTTTTTGTGTTAAAAAAAAAAACTGCAAATTCAGTGTGATCGTTTTATGTAACCGGGAAAATTGGTTGCACAGAGTTTTCTTTTTTTGAAAACAAAGAGTATACACTTAAAGTATACATTAGCTTGCAGATTGTAGAGCTTTTCACGCTGCATCTTGTGATATATTTTGCTTTATAATAAAACGTATTTAGAGATTAAAATATGAAATGTAAAGTCGAACCCTTTATTATGCGTCACGTATTTACTTTTTACAGCTTTTTGTATATCTTTATTTTTTATCCTTTGTCAAATATATCTAAAACAGCTTTTAAGTCGAATCATATATGATTTGGTAGAGAATTTCAAGCGCTATCTTTTGATATAAAATATATGTCAGTCTAATGGAGAATAGAAAAGAAATGTTGGAAATACAAACAGTATAATTTATTCTGGGCCACCCGTTATTTCCCTATTTATTTACCTAATTAGTGTGAAACAAAATTTATTTTGTATAAGTTACAAGAAGTTTTTAAAACATATGTCATCCAAAAATGTTTATCAGAATCAATCATTCAACTATTATCCGTATCCGTTGATGTTGAGAAGAGATGTTCACTTTCTCTGTTACCAATATCGTTTTCATACGTAATGAAATCAATGTTACCCCAATTTCCATAGCTAGTACCTTTCCAACTTGGCTTTTGTTGGCACATTTCACTGCGTACACATCGACGAAATTCTTTTGTATCTAAATCAGTTGACCATAATCTTTGAGTCAAACTGAGAAGCGCAAGAATTTTTGTAATAACTAAATCAGGTAATTCTTGTTTAGTCTCTAAGTTTGTTTTATTCAGAACACATGTCTTCCTTAGTAGTTGGTAACAAGATTCATAACTGATAAGAACTAAATTACTGATTGCTAATTCAGGTGATGGTAAAATAGGTTTATGAGGATTGACAATAAAAAAATTAAGAAATGTACGTCGTCTTGATTTTTGCGTTAGATTTCGTATTGAACAGAAACGATGTGGTAATGAATTAGAAAATACAATAGCAGTATCAGTTTTCGGCATCACGTAACGATTTACATTTTCATAAAGGTCTCTCCATTGTTTATCTACCATGGCAAAATTATCTATCCAGCAGTTATCTTCCTGTAGCAATTTAGGTATGCCACTACCGCCATACTTTGCATATGGAAGTTTCGGAGGACGAAATTTGAGTGCACCACCTTCAAGTTTTTCATCAATGTGAAGATAGTAAACACCAACGGCTATGATGTTTTCTTTGTAACCTTCGGTGTGCCAACGGCCCGAGTATTTTATACCTTCAAATTAAAACAAAGGAAGGATCTAAAAAATGTAGCATGAAGAAAACAATCAGTAATTTTCACATTTGGCGATTATTTACACTAGAACTTATGTAAGATAGTTCCTAGTGATATGAAAAATCTCGCATAGCTCGACGCACATTCTCATAACTTTGATTGGTTATAAGTTGTCGAAAGTAATATTGCATGAAAAATAAACATTCACACATGATAAAATATGTATTGAAGCATCTATCGCTTTTTTCTTCTGTTTGAATATCAAAAAATTAACTTGAATCACATTCGCAGAAATTCTAAACATTTGATTTCTTTATTTCAGATTCAGACTTCTCACTATTGAACCTTTCCAGAAGTTAAATTTCAATGTTGCTATGAAGTTATTTTTGAAAGAAAAAAAGGAGAAATTCTTTTCTAATTTATAAGATATTCGAACTTACCTGGTTTTATATTATAACTTTGCACTTTCACGACAACTTCTAGATGTGTATCAGTTTCGTCGGAATTTAACAGATTCAATTTTTTAAACATCGGTACAAGCTTCTCAAATATTTTCTCCAAATTTTGATACGTTTGTTCATACTCTTCATTCATCGGTAAATGTAAGATCGGTGTCTCAATATGTACTTTGTATTCAGTGAAATCAATATGAGTGGAAGTAGAAGTGCAAATACGAAATCGACTTGGTAACCACTGATACGTACTACATAAAGGCAGTTCTTCCCTGCTATTCCATAACCTTGAAAAATAAAAATGTGAAATCATAATTTTAATCGATATGTATATGAAACGTTAGATGGTCTACATCTATATTTAAGAGTACATTGAACTAGAGACGTACCAAGACTGAGTTCCAACCGGAAGTTTCTATCTTGGTTTCATACAGTATCAATATAATCTCAGTTATTATCCGTATTACTCTCAGTCAATGTTGATATTAGCACGGTGATAATATCCGTCGTTATAATACTCGAAATAGATAAGTGATTAAGAAAATATTAAAAAATCTAATTTCTTGAAACTATCACGCGAAAAACATTAGATGAAAAAATGATCGAGAGGCAACGAAAACATAAAACTTATTCAAAATGAATGATCGAGAGATTATTCTTAGGTCGATATCAAATTCAAGACTTTAAAATTGATCACAATAATAATGTTGACTAAATTGACAATGAGAGTGAAAAACTTTGTCTCAATAAATGTCTATAGCGGACTGCTATTTAGTATCCCAATTATTTGCAGAGTGCTTAAGACTATTGGTTTCATATATTTTCTCAAAATGACTGAATATTATTTCCATTTCGGATGTCGTTATAAATACAAGCGTTCTTTTTTCGGATTTCCAAGGATTAAATCTACGATAAATCCAGCTCGTGCACTCAGTTGATGAGAGTCTGCGCTTTTGAAACTTCTCAGTTCATTTAACAAAATTCAGTTGTGTTTATGAACGGAGGTAAATTCCTCAGCAGGACTCTCTCAAACTGACTTGAACTATCAGAATCGTTCCTACTCAATTACTTGAATTCATTATTACTTCTATGATAAGTTTCTCGTAAACTTTCAACGATTATTCTGCATGAGTAGGATATTTATGTGTCTTCATGATTTTTCTGAATGGTAGCCAAGACTATTGAATACTGAATGTGCCGTGCATTGCCTCCACATTTCTTAAGAACATGTCGTAAAGATCAATCTTACAAGTATCAACGGTAAATAGACGGTTTATACTAATATGTCATCATGTACCCGTAGAATTCTAAAACAACTTGCTAACGGGTCTGATGTCCACGTGTCTTCATTTTATCTTAATGTTCCTATATCAAAGTATTTATTAGAGAGATGTTAGACGGTTTATGTCTAGCAATTTTTGTTTTAGGAATAACATTTCGTAAAAAGAAGCATGATTGTTAACGTTACTCTCTGTCTAATATTCATCAGAATCGCTTAATGTATTGTATTGGGTTACTTCGATGCTAATTTAGATCATACAAAAGTATCGTGACAATTTCTTTCTGTAATTTGGGTACACAATGTATCTGAAGTTTTGTTACTCAGCTTCGCATTTTTTGGAAAGAGAAACGAACAAAAGATGACATTAATTGAGAGACGATGAATAGATTTGCAGTTAATTTAAAACTTTATTATTTGATGAATCGATCATTAGTATACAAAGCTAACATTGAATTTCTATCTCTTCTCAATGCGATGTCTATTGATAGATAACAAAACGTAGATCAAGTGAAGAGACGAGTAGTAAAGGATCATATTTTATTGCATCCCTTCTATAGTTTTAATCTCAAAATTTATGAAACCACTGTGAACAGTTTTGGAACGAGTCGGATAATCTTTATGTCTAAGTAAGAGTTCAATGCAAAGCTGAAGTATCTATGTGCAAGAATCAGCTAAGTAACTTGAAGCATTAATATTTCTATTACTATCTTAGACGGTATTGGAAAATTCGAAGTGACTTTTTCATATGAGTCAAGAATATTATAAGTAATGTTCTTTCATATACTTGAACATTTTCTGTCACATATGTATCTCGCAGCGGATACCTCAATACTCACAGATAATTTCCAAATAATGTCTTTAACTATTTCGAGTCAGACATGATTCGTTGGTTAGTTGACTTTTATCCTTGAACGGTGGCAACAATGAAAACTAATCTTTGCCATTCTGTCAATCACTACAATCCAATGTATATCTTTCACTAGTAGTTTTTATTTGAGAGAAAACGCTGTCATTTTCAACACAAGTACTCGCTTATAACAGAGTTTGAAGAGTTGTAAAAGATTTTACCGGTAGCAATTCAATCAAATTTTTGAATAAAATTGTTCGAAGCTCATATAATTTCATTGGTTCGGAACTCCTTCTCAACTTTCGTACCCCTACTAACAATTTCAAACAATAAAAACTCGTATATTTAAAATCAAGATGAGTAAATGATTCTGTTTATATACAATTACTTTCCTAAAAACCGCTCTAGTAGGTCTGAATGGCTGATGCTTAAATATCTTTCAGAAAAGAATCAACTATCCATCTTATCTCATAATTCGATGAAGAAACTGTTTTCAAAAAGAAACAGGCCGAAGTTCTAATCAGAATGAGTCTTTTCTTTGCAAATCTATTTTATGTCATCGATAAGGGACCTGTTTCGAATGACAAGAAATCCATCAGGCGTATCACTCTATCTTTGCCCTAGATTAGGAAGAAGTATCAATCTGGTCGTATATCAGACTTTTGTCATTTCCTAAACATTGTATTCTATTATTCGGTAAATTTTTACCTAGGTTGCATCTCCGAAGGTTCAAAATATCCACTAGCATTTTGTTTTACTCCATCAGGTTGATAGACTAATAGATCCGGATCGATAATATCTTCAACTGGTGATGGATAATCATGAAAATCTTGTCTCTGTTTATTTAATTTATGGAATGTTCTTAATAATTCATAACGAATGTCCATCCTTTTCTTACCACAAACATTATCACACTGCCATATTGGATATTCAACTGCATAATACTCAGGTTCATGATGTTTTTCCGGAATAATTTCTCGAGAAAAGCTTTTATGAAACGGGTGACCTTCACTATCAGATAAGTTTTGGTCATAATTGTATAAAGTGGAAATTTTTTTCGCACTTTTTAACCACTCACTATGATCCGATAAATAGTCATTATCGCTGTTGTCAGAGTCTATGGATTGAGTTGCCATAAAAGAAATGTAATAAAATAAAGAATAGAACACAAGGCACACCAGCGTCTCTTATATAGTGTTTTTTTTTCATTCTTTCATGTTACACAATTTACATAATGTGTCATCAGCTGAGACGAACTTCCTTTTCATATCAGCGCAATCTACATTATGTAATGCATGATTCATAATGTCAACAACAACAAATAAAGTTTCTTATATATTGTCGACATAATGAGGAAATGAATGTAGATGAACATGAATAGAGAGAACATTCGGATTTAAAGCAACTATACTGTGTCATGGAAAATGACAAAGGTATAATGAAATTGTGTTCAAATTTGATTTTGAATAATCGATCAAATAAATATACTAGGAAGGTCATAAATCTACTGAATAAACAAACCCAGGAAATATCAATGCAGAGTAAGGTTAGCTTATTTTTCTTAATTTTAATAGATTAAATAGGATAAAATAATTATCATTTGATTTAATAAAATGAAAAAAAACTTTATATATCTACTACGTAGTTACATAAATAAGTTAAGGATATGTTTATTAGAAAATGCATTAAAATAATATAAGCAGATTATCTTGAAATGAATGAAGTACATATTTATATGGTCAGGAATATATTGTTGAGATGTAGTTTATGCTAAATTTACTTTTACAACTGATTTCACGACCAAGGATAGAATGTTTGAATTCGGTTTATGTTAAAGTTTGATAAACTATTAAAGCTTTAATAAAAGAAAACGAACGAATTGACATCACATCTTAGAAATATCTACTATCTTTTACTTCCAAAATGATAAAGGATTCAATGAGATTTCTTCAAGAATTCTTTGATTTTCCTCAGAAAACGACTTGATCCTGAAGGAAACAGATTATTATCAAATTTCAAAATCAGAACAAAACTTAATCAAAAAAAAAATATTTATAGTAGGAAATGATAGAGATTTTGATAGAACGCAAGCAGATTGTTTATTCATCTAATCTAAACTCCGATGGACATATACAGTCATACTGACACTTGATTTTTGCAAAATTCTTTCCAACATTTCAGTAATTATACTACCTACGATAGAGACTAACTCATCTCAGAATCGTACATTCTTTATTTAACAATAAAACATCATAGTGTAGCATTTTTGAGATTAATAGTATTTGAAACTCATAGGTCCTGTTTTAGCATTATTATACTCGCACAAAATACAAAAAGTGAAAAACGAATAAATTTTAAGTTTGTTTTTTTTTCTGTTGGATGCCGCATGTATTGTTTTCATTGCTATAAATTGTTCATTGTTTTTCGATTTCGTTTTTGTGTACTCAAAAAGTGAGTAAACTACTAAAATCGGTCAGTGTGTTCGTCCGTTTATTCGATAACTCTTCACAATTACATTTGATTGAGCTGAAATTTTGTGCACAAAATTGTTCCATCAATATTTAGGCCTAATTCGAAGATGAAAAGGATCCGTCAAGAAATGGCTGAGTTATCGAAAAAATTGTCATTTTTGATCAGACCATCTCTGAGGGGGAGTACAGAGATTTTTGAAAAAAAAAATGTTTCTTCTCAGAATTATCCACAACATATATAAATCAACTCAGTTTTTGTGTACTCAAAAAGTGAGTACACTACTAAAATCGGTCAGTGTGTCCGGCCGTCCGTCCGTTAACACGATAACTTTCGAAAGGAGAGTCCAATCGCGATGAAATTTTCTGTACAGTTCAGTCTTAACAATGTCTCGGTCGAGTTCTAAGATGAGCAGGATCCGTCTAGAAATGGCTGAGTTATCGAAAAAATTGTGATTTTTGACCAGACCATCCCTGAGGGGGGGGGGGTACAGGGATTTTTTCAAAAAAATTTTTTTTTTCAGAATTATTCACAACATATATAAATCGACTCATTTTTTAACGCTGACTCCGAATCTGATATTAGTTTTGAACCGAATTATAGTTTTGTATACTCAAAAAGTTCATAGACTATAGAATAGTCAGTGTGTCCAAAGGTCCGATTGGCTGTTTGCATAATAACTTTTGACAACAGAGTTAGATTGTGATGAAACTTTCTACACAGCTTAGTCTTGACAATAGCTCTGTCGAGTTCGAAGATGAGAAAGTCTGGTCGAGCCGTTCCTGAGTTATTGCAAAAATACCCATTTTTCCCTATAGCTTTCTGTGGAAAAATGGACCCATCGCAACTTTCGTAAAAGACTTTTCCTATCATAGTCAATTAAAACCCCAACTATAATATACCACTCGATAGAAAATTTCAAGAGCTACAAAGTGATATATAAAACATAAAGAACCAAGAACGTTGACTAACCTATCACAAAGATAATTAAAGATAACTAGGTTAGATTTTGGTCCACAATCTAATTGATCCACAAATAGAGCTTTATCTTCCGATTACACTGATGATACTTCGAGGTTTTCAGATATAGAGAACTCGAATGTGTAGTGCACTTCCATCGAAATACTATTAGTTGTGCAGTGACCAATAGAAATGAAGTTCTAGGAAAAACGACTTTCTTATAGTAAATCAAGGTGCAGAGTTCAAACTTGAGCTTAGTTCGGTCCCATATCCTATTGGTTTGTCAACGCGGAATATAAATCAAGATTTTAAATGGTAGATTTGACAGTATAATTTTGATATTTTCGACAGTCTAAGATGATTGATTTGTATGATTCACTTTTTGAAGTACACATAACTCTCGGATTTAAATCCGAAGTTTCCGCATTTATTAACGGTGATCCCGAATCTGATATTAGTTTTGAACTAAATTGTAGCTTTATAACGAAACATCGCCTGAAAAAGGTCTCAAAATGCACAAAAGTTCCATCCAGAAACCAAATTGTCTAGTTTCTCATGATAATTTTGGTGTTCAAACATTCTGGCATGACTCCTATGTCCCATGCACTTTTTGCAGTACACATAACTCTCGGATGAAATCCGAAGTTTCCACATTTATTTTTTCTTTGTTTAACATTCATTTTTTTTTCCAATTCACGCTCCCGCCCAGAAAAAATGAAGATGATTGTTTCTGCATTTTTCAGTTAAGGTCACCAAAAATAATAAGAAATAAACATCATCAATCAGTTTATTGCAAGCAAAGTGTCTTTGCATATAACACAGATTTTTTTCATGAAAATGAAAAGTACTTGCAGCATTGATTGAAAGATTTTTTTTTATTTCTTCACAAAATTCAGTTATGGCAAACAAAAAAATTGCTAAGATTCACACGTTAATAGAAAACCAACTGAAGTATTACAAAACATTCTAATACCATTTCGTTCTCGATGGAGTTTTGTTTTTCTTACCTTTTTTTCTTTGTGTTAATATTCCATATATAAATTGTTGCATACGTTTCTCTCTGCACATTGAGTGATGTTAATAAATGTGAATTAATACAAATACATTACCGCTACTCAACGCTGTTTCTTTGGCATATGTTTAATATAATTTTAGGACAGCGTTCGAAAGAGAAACGAATGTTTCAAACCCCCTTTGTTTGAAATTCATATTCTTTCACTTGCGAAAAAAAATTGTTAAATTATTTACGATATAAATACAGATTTGTTGAAATCTTTTTTGTATTTCTGAAAATCTTGATAAGAATAAGTTGATGATGATGGTAGAAACTAAATAACTGGTCAAAAAAAAAAAACAGAAAGATATTTTCACAAAACTAAAAACACTCGAAAATGAAAACTTTATTGTTTATTTTATTTTGGATTCAAAACTAAATTAATATTCATATAGTTAATTCGTTTCAATTTATAGACATATTTCAACAACGAACTTTATATTTTCATTTTGAGAAAATAAAGGAAATCAAGTTCGAAAAATACTTCTTTAGAAATGAGTTTCTCTAATTTTATGTAATTCGATGAAGTTTTGAAAGTAAGGAAATCGTTGCATTGAATTCCTTCTAGAAATTTTCATGAATGCTAACTGGAACATTATATATAAAATATCAACACTTGATATTGCAAATTTCGTCATTTTTCAAAATTATGGTCGACAGAAGTCTATCGAAAAATGAAGAACAATGATTAAAAAAAAAATAAAATCCATTTTCATATGTACATCTCTTTGAAAGTAACATATCTTTCCAATGTTGTTTGATATTTTCGTGAGAATGAGAATCTTTCTATTTCGTATTTTTTTAAAAGTGACCCAGAAAATATAAGAAATACCTGTCGAACTCACTGAAACTCTTTAAAATTTTTATTGTATTTTAAATTTTTGACATAGTCAATCTTAAAAAAGACAGAATTAAAAAGATTTCAGTGAAAATACTGATTTTGCATAAGCCATCAAAATCTACCGAATTTGTAATAAAGATTAGAATAGAAAGATTTATACCTGCTTAGAAATTTACTCATTTCCATTCATTAATATGACAGGTTATTGTCATATAAATAAATCAAGAATCTATGTCAAGATGTACATATATGTTAACTCTAATGTAGCATCTCTAATCATCCATCAATTAGTTTTACTTTCACAATGTATTCTTTATAGGATTGAAGTCAATACCATTCGAATTAAATTTTACTAGAACTAATCTTTCAAAGATGATCTGCATTGATCTCAATTCAAACACATATCCAATTTCATTGACTTTATACTATAAAATAAATACAATATTCTGAGAATTAAATAATGGTCGATAATACATTGTCAAATATGCTCATTGTTTCAATCGATTATGAGGATTCAAATATAATACTACTAGAAAAAAAAAAGTCAAGTCACACAATGGGGA